GTTGGATGGTGATGGTGAAGGAGAATGAAAAGGAAAGACTTCTTCATTGAAGCGGACATGACGAACGATGTAAATACGGTCCGTGACAGGTCAAAGCATCGATACCCGTGATGAAGAGGACTATATCCCATGAAGGCACACGAAGTGGAGCAAAAATCCATTTTGTGTTGGTTATATGGTTGGAGGTGTGGGAAGCATTGACAACCGAAAACCCGAAGGAATGAGTAATCGGGTTTTCTATTGAAAACATGTTGAAAAGGCGACTTATTTGAAGAGATACATGATGGTAGACAATTAATGAGATAGACAGAAGTTACAAAGGCAAAATGCCAAAAACGTTGTAGAAGGTTTGCTTGTGCAAGAAGGGCTAGACTAGTTCCAACAACGTGACGATGATGACGATCAACTAGGGATGAGCAAAAGAACCGAACCGGTCGGAACCGGCCCGAACCGGACCAGAACCGGGAACCGGCTTCGGCCAAAATTAAGAACTGAACCGGCCCGGCGGTTCTACCGGTTCCGATTCCACCGGTTCCCGGTTCCTACCGGTTCTTGTCGTGTCTTCAAATGTTGGAACCGATCCTTGAAAAATAGCATCATACGGTTCCGGTTTTTGCCGGTTCCGGTTATATCGGTTCCGGTTCCTGGTTCCAAAAATCCACAAAAATAATGTCCCGGTCCCGGCCCGACCGGTTCCATCGGGTTCCGGTTCCGGTGCCGGTTCCGGTTCCGGTACCGGTTCCGGCCGGTTCCCCAGTCCATATGCTCATCCCTACGATCAACAATGCCATTTTGCTCACTAGTGTATGGACATGAACGTCGATGGGTAATTCCAAGAGAGGTGAAAAAAAGAGATAGATTGCGAACCCCCCCCCCCCCCCCCCAATCAGTTTGAACAATTTTGAGCTTGGAATTAAACTATCTTTCAACTAACGTGACAAAGTTTTTGAAGGTGGAATAAACATCGGATTTTTGAGCTAACGGATAAAACCACATATAACGAGTATGATGACCAACACATAACATAAAGAAGCAATAACCATCAGAAGATAAAACAGGTGCAGGTCCCCAAACATCACAATATATCAAATCTAAAATATTATTACTTTGAAAGTTGGAACAAGATAATGATAATTTGGAAGATTTTCCCAATTGACAAGATGAACATAATGAAGAACATTGTTTTGTAGAAACTGCTAAAGAACAACTAGAAATAATAGAACTAAAAACACATTGATGTGGATGACCAAGACGTTGATGCCAAATGGTTGAAGAAGCTTTGGTGGTAGTGAAAGCAATCTTAGAAATAGACTTGAGTTGAGGAAGGCGTATGGAATAGAGACCATTATCACTTGGACCCGTGAGAAGAGTATTGTGAGTTGTTTCGTCCTTCACAACAAAAAAAGAAGAATGAAATTCAAAGAAAACATTATTTTCATGACATAATTGTTGAACAGACATGAGATTATTTTTAATTGTCGGAACATGAAGAATATTAGAAAGAGTGAAGGTTTTGTGAGGAGAGTAAATTTTGGTAGAACCAATGTGAAAAATAGGAAGAGGTTTACCATCACCAACATGGAGAGAGTTAGAGCCATGATAAGTCTCTAAAAAATCAAGGTTGGACAAATCAACGTGTAGTGTGGGTGTTAGCACCAGTATTGGGAAACCAGGTTGCACCTAAATTTGAGTTGTGATAAGAAAATGCAGCAAAATTGGCTTGAGAAGGTTGTCGTGTTGGGGCAGAATTTTGCTGATTTGGATAGTGAGAGGGTAGATGACCGATACCACAACGATTACAATGACCATAAACTGTATTTTGAGTAGAAGCCCATGCAAATTGTCTAGAACCAGAACCACTGTTTCCATTATTATCACGCCCCCGATTTTGATTTTGAGATTGATTGCGAGAATTATTGTTGCGGGTGTTGCCACGACGACTACCTCGATTGTTGTTGGGTAGTCACGAGGCATAGAAAGCTTGTGGAGAAGGTTTTTGGGAGGCAATAGGATTCAGTTGAAAGCCTAACTGAGATGCCAATTTTTGAAGACTTTGAATGACATTTCTAGTAGAAGTAGCAAACACCTATGGTGATGCAGTGACGGTAGTTGTAATGGGTTTGTTGATCATGTAATCATGATCACTTAGAAGACCATGTAATTCGTTGAAGCTGATTGGTGGGTGACGAGCTAAGAGAGTCGACTTCAAACCATTGTAATCTTCCCGAAGTCTCGATATTACGAGCATAACAAGATCTTTATCCTTCATTGGTTCACCGATGTTGGCAAGGGCTGTGGCATATTCTTAAGCCCTGCTTAGATAGCCCTGTGGAGATTCATCGCCTTTCATGGCAATTTTAAGAAGCTGGGTTTTTAGTGTCTATTCATGAGAGGCAGTATTTGGTGAGTATGCCCGTTCAAGGGCTAGCCACAGTTCTTTAGAGGTTGCTCCTTGGACGTGTTGAAACAAAGCTCCAGAGATGGTGGATATGATAATCATCTGGACATGTGCATCATTGGCTATCCACCAGGGGTAACTAGGGTTATCCGTGATTGCGTCTCCAGTTCCCACTTTCTGTGCTGGAAAGGGTATCGTGCCATCTACATAACCAAGTAAATTGTTGGTGCTGAGAAAGGGTTCAAGCATTGCTTCCCAGTACCCATAGTTGGTGGGAGAGAGAGTGAAAGCAAATTTATGGGAGTTATGTGATGTCTTTTCTGCAGTAGAGAAGGTAGTAATGGTAGCCATGTGAGTTTGAGTTAATCACTGATGATTGGAGTTGAGCACCAAATGAAGCCGTAAGAGGCTTCTCTGCGGTTAGGGTTTAGAGTTGTAAGGTAGGGTTTACTTGGCTCATATACCAAGTTAAACCATGTAAAGGGTAATTGATTGTATATTTGAAGCGTAGATTACAATCCTATATATAGGCTAGATAGTTACATTTAGATACCCTCTAATATAAACACTATCAATAGACTATCTAAACATATGTCTAACAAGGTGGGTTCAGATTGAGATGGAAAGGGACATTGGGTATGCAGTATTATACTGCCGCAAGGTTGGGCATGTAGTGTTCCATGAGAATACTTATGAGCCAACAATTTAGTGTGCTCAGTGTGCTCAATTTTTGCTTAAATAGGAAATGGTTAGTTTAATTTTATATAACATTGTATTATTAATAGTATTTAAAATGAATTTGATCATAAAATGAAACATTCTATTATTGTAGGATGGCTTCTACCACATATTTTTTAGATAATGGATCTTATATTAACTTAAAATGTCAAGTTAAATTGCATTTTGATATTAACCATGTAGTTTTATGTGCTATGAATAAGTAAAGACAATTAAATTTTTTTGGGCCTTCAACATGTGAAGGTGGAAAAATAGAATGTGAAGAGCACTGTTATATTTTTTGAACTCAACTATTTAAATTTTTTACAATTTTTGAAAATTTACCCGTAACTCGATTTCTATCTGTGTGTTGCTACAAGGGCAAAAGGGAAGAAGAGAGTGATTCTCTTATAAATGTGTGTTTAAATATATCGTATTAATAATCCTATATTTATGGCAGACAATGGAAAACAAGAGAATTCATATGTTGAAAAGCCTCTAAAGATCTAAATTCCATCAACTCTAAAAAAGAAACTTGTCGATGTCGTCAAGAAGATTATGTAGGAAGTTGTAATCATCGTTTGGGTTGTCTTAAGAACAAGATTGCTTTTTTTTTTTTACTCATATCATTAAGTGTAAATTTGGATTAGTACAGAGTTGGGATTTAGATTTCCAGTTACTTACTTATGGTATTATAATCGCTTAAATTACTTTAAAGAATCTTTGGGTATACCAAGTTTTATACCGGATTTTGTTTGTGTTTTATGTGCTTTATATGTGCATGTTGGTGTAGCATTTTTTTACAAGTTTTTTTAAGAAATGCCTGTGGATCGTGCTTAGCACAACCCATACACCTACCTATTATGATAGAAATGAATTGATATATTTACATATTTAAACTTTCATTTTTATACTGTGTACTGAGCTCTCTAGATGGTAAAGCAAGAAGAAAATAACCGATTTCTTTTAATCTTTCTTCATGACGAGTTGGAGAGAAAATTTTCGGTCATTTAGAAATTCAAATGATGAGGTATATTTTACTCTCAACATATTACCATATTTTGTTTAAGCATAGTTAATTATATATGTTTTGTTTAGGATAACAATCCAAGTCAAAGTTATGAAAATGAAGATATATCAGAATTCTCATAAAGTATCACATCTTATTTTTATAGTTAATTATATAAGTTTTATATTTTTATATTGGAAAAATTTCGTATATACCCCTTTATAATTATTTATTGGAATTTATATCAGTATAATTTTAACAAAATTTAGAATAGGGTTCATAATAAAAATTGGAATACCCATAACACCCCTACTTTTATTTTTTCTTCAAATTCGTTGAGAAAACTTTAGCCAACAACATATATAAACGAAATCTTTGTCAAACACCTACCATAATTATCTATTACGAACATGAAAATTTACAAACGTAATCTAACCTTTCTCATAAAAATCATATAAAATGGGGATTTGATTTCCCACTCATCTTTGTTTATTATATAAAATAGGTAATCAATTCAATATGAAATGGGGATTTGATTTCCCACTCATAAAATAGCTAATAATAAAAATTTTAATTTAATTTATCTTAAAAAAAATCATTATATTCATTATATTTTTTTTACTAATTTATTAAAAACACATATTCATTGATTTTTTTTAAAGAGAATGGTGCTTTTTTTTTTTAAAACCCCGTATAAATTCAAAAAAAAAATGGCCTTTCCTAGTTCCTTCTCGAGAATACCACTTTTTCAATCACTCCGCGTTGTCATTACCAAACATTCATCTTCTTGATAGGGTTAGTCAACTCATCCAAATCTCACTTAAACTTTTGGCAACAAAGATCCGAAATAGGAGATCCTTCAAGCATTAACCATCAATGGCCTCTTCTTCAATTGCATCCATTCAGAAAAGCTTTACATATGGTGTATTTTTGAGTTTTAGAGGGGAAGACACACGCACCAATTTCATCGATCATCTTTATAATGCTCTTCAGCAGCAAGGCATTTATACTTACAAGGATGACGAGGCAATTAGAAAAGGGAAAAGGATCAGTGATGAGCTCATCAGTTCCATTAAAGACTCAAAATTCTATATCATTGTTTTCTCCAAGACCTATGCATCTTCAGCTTGGTGCTTGGATGAGCTTGCGATGATAATGGAGTGTCACAAGACGACTGAGCATACTGCATACCCCATCTTCTATGATGTGGAACCGACAGAGGTCCGGAATCAAAGCGGGGCAGTCGGAAAAGCTTTTGCTAAACATGAAACTGATGAAGCTGCTGGGAAATGGAAAGAGGTTCTAAAAGAAGCCGCAGATCTGGCTGGATGGGAGTTAAAAAACACTGCAAATGGGTAATTCCTTCCTTCATCGATCATCATATCTTTGTTTAATTATTCTTTAATTTTTATCACAAGATCCCATTTTGGTCGATATAGCCTGGACCGGGTTGTTCTCCTTGACCCGATTTTGACCTGCCGGAACCTCTTTTTTCTTATCGATTTTAGCCAAACTTACCACTTAGGAATTGCAACTCAGTTTCCAATTTCAATTTTCTAATAATTTCACAAAAGAGATCTCGGTTTTTTTTTTTTTACATAATTCAACCCTAAGGAAAAAAAAAAGTTATTTGAGCTTATCTATTAGTTTAATTTCCAATGTGCGTGGTTATGACTACTCTATTATCATATCTCTGCAATATTCCTTCATTTTGTTTGTTAGTAATCTTTGTCTGAAAAGGTCATCCAAGACATCTCATGTTGTTGTATGGTTATGTTATTATTTCATATACTTTGTATTTTATTATAGTTCACGTGGGATTTTGAGCAAACTAACTGAAACCTCTTTAATATATAGGCATGAAGCCAAATTCATCAAAAAAATTATTGAAGAAATTTCACTACAGTTACGTTCCATTGATTCCAACGCTGATGAAAAACTAATAGGCATGGAGACGAGGGTAGAGGATGTTGTATCGTCTTTAGAAATTGGTACCAATGATGTTCGTGTAATCGGTATCAAGGGAATGGGCGGTGGTGGGAAGACAACTTTGGCCAGAGCGGTTTTTGATCAAATATCCTTTCAGTTTGAAGCTAAAAGCTTCGTTGAGAATGTTAGGGAAAATTCAAACACTTCTTTGTCTGGCTTGAAATCGTTGCAAAATCAAGTCCTTAAAGATGCCTTATTTGATCAAGGCATCAATGTGAGTAGTGTTCATGATGGGAAAATCATGATGAAGAAGAAGATGCGTAATAAAAAGACTCTTCTTGTTCTAGATGATGTGGACCATATAGACCAGCTTGAGGCATTAGCTGGTGATCTTAATTGGTTCAAACCGGGAAGTAGAATTATCATTACAACAAGAGATGAGCAGGTGCTCGTGGTACACCGGGTGACGTTGACTCTTTATGTCAATTTGTTATCGAGCAAGGAAGCGATTGGGCTCTTCAGTAGGCATGCATTTGGGGGAGAGATTCCAATTCAAGGGTATGAAGAGCTGTCGGAACAAGTTGTACGGTATGCTGCTGGTCTTCCCTTAACGATAAAAGTTTTGGGTTCATTTCTTTGTGGTAAAAATAAGAGTGAATGGATAGATGCATTAGAAAGATTAAAAACAATTCCGTTAAAGGAAACTCTTCAGAAATTGGAATTAAGCTACATCAGTTTAGAGGAAGATTACAAAGAAATATTCCTAAATATTGCATGCTTACTGAAAGGGTGGTCGAAAGACTTGGCAATCGAAGCTCTTGAAAGTTGTGGATTTCATGCAACAAATGGTTTAAGAGTTCTTGAGCAAAAATGTCTCATAAGTATTAATGATTATAAGTGTGTGGAGATGCATGACCATATTGTAGAAATGGGCAGAAATATTGTTCGTCGTTTACACCCAGATAAGCCTCAGAAACACAGCCGATTGTGGATTGATGATGAAATTAAAGATATATTGGCTAATGACTTGGTAAGGTCAAGTTTATTTGTAAGTTTTATGAAACTAACCTATTATGCATTTCTTATGTTACAAGTTTCATGGTGACTGCTTTTGCATTACAGGGTTCTAAAGCAACAAGATATATAATACAAGTCAGCTTAGAAGATATCAATTTGGAAATTGTTATGAAAGGAATTAGAAAAATGAAAGAACTTAGATTTCTTTATGTCTGTGGGGATGATTTTCTGGATGAAAATGAATGTGCGAATGTCAGCCAATATTTACCAAACAGTTTACGATATCTGAGTTGGTATAAATACCCTTTCTGTTCTTTACCCGCAACATTTCAAGCAAATAATCTTGTTGCCCTTAAGATGGATCGAAGCAAAATAGTACAACTTTGGGAAGGGGGAGAAAGAAAGGTAGAATTATGGTTGATTGATTGTTTTACATAATTCATTATAATGCTATACATCCATTTCTTTGTAATTAAACCAATATTGATCTTGTTCATTTGTTTATGTTAGGTTCTTAACAAGCTCAAGATTCTTGACCTCAGTTATTCAGAGTTGACGACCCTTGATCTTGGGTCTAGTCCAAATCTCGAGGTGTTGTCTCTAAGAGGATGTCGTGACTTGGTACAACTTCACACGCTCAATGGATGTCGAAAGCTCAAGTCCATCGAACTCAGTGATTCAAAGTTGAAGACAATCGACCTTCACCCAGCTGTGAACCTCGAGCTCTTACATCTTAAATACTGCAATGCTTTGGTAGAACTTGGCTTACCAAATGGGTGTCTAAAGCTCATATCTATTAACCTCAGTGGTTCTAAGTTGAAGACCATTGATCTTCATTCATGTGTGAATCTCGAGTTGTTAGATCTTAAACACTGCTGTGCCTTGGTAGAACTTCACATGCCTGGTAAATGTCTGAATCTCAGATCCCTGACACTCACTAATTCAAAGTTGAGGACCCTGGACATTGGGCGGACTCCGAATCTGGAGGATTTAGATCTTAACAATTCTTATGATTTGGAAGACCTTCACATGGCCGATAAATGTCTAAAGCTCACATCCCTCAACATTAGTCATTCAAAGTTGAAAACCCTTGACCTTGGGTTGACTCCAAATCTGAAGAAGTTAGATCTAAAAAAATGTAAGAATCTGGTACAACTTCATGTTCCCATTGGATGTCTAGAAAATCTTGTCTACTTGGACTTAAGTGGCTGTTTGAGGTATACATCTTTTCTGTTTGACAAAAGGAATGTTGCTTCTAGTAGAAGGGATGAATCACTTGAGATTGGTCCTTCAGCTGAGTCACATCTGATTGCCAAGTCCCTTGAAAGATGTACACTTCACCCGGACAATACTTTGCGACAGTTTCAGTTTGAATGCTTTTACATGGATGATCCCTCAGTGACTACTAATCTTGAGAAGCTTATTTCTGAAGGTCCGTGTACTTGCACAAACCTTAAGATGTTTTCAGGAAGCAATTGTGGGTTACGGGGTTTAAGAAATCTTAAACTCAAAGGCTATCTAGAGGCTCCCAAGGACCTTGACCAGGTAGAAAGTCTAGAAGAGCTATGTTTTTCTAGGACAAATATGAAACATCTTCCAGATAGCATTTGTACGTTGAAACATCTGGAAATTCTTCAACTTAAACATTGTTGGAGTCTTCAGAAGTTACCTGAGGATCTTGGCCAACTAGAATGTTTAAAAAGTCTGACTTTGTCATCTGCAAAGATTAAACATCTTCCAGATAGCATTTGTATGTTGAAACATCTGGTATGTCTTGAGCTTCGTGCTTGTTCCTTTCTTGAGAAGTTGCCCAAGGATCTTGGCCAGCTAGAATGTTTAGAGAAGCTATATTTGTCGTATGCAAAGATCGAACATCTTCCAGATAGCATCTGTATGTTGAAACGTCTGAGAACACTGGCTCTTTTTCGTTGTTCTTCCCTTAAGACATTACCAATGGATCTTGGCAAATTAGAACGTCTGGTAGACCTATATCTGTCATCCTCGATCGTCAAACATCTTCCGGATACCATTTGTATGTTGAAATATCTGGAGTGTCTCAGACTTGATGATTGTAAATTACTTGAGAAATTACCGGAGGATCTTGACCAATTAGAACATTTAACGTGGCTAGACCTAGGGAAGTGTAAGTTTCTACAAGATATCCCAATCGGCATTTGTAAGACGAAATGTTTAAAATGGTTAAATGTAGCAGGTACAGGCATAAGTCGTCTTCCACATGACATTTGTTTGTTGAAAGGCCTAAGTATTTCAGGATCCAGAGACCTTCTTCAATCTTCTGGTTTTACATCCGAGATAAAAAGCATATACTACAATGATACCTGCTTCGTAGATCTGTGAATATCACAAGCCAGGAGTCTGTTGGTGTTAGTGTTTGTGTCCCACATCATGACCTTGTATGTCTCTATTTAGTGTTCCACATGGTTTGGTATGTCTCTCTATATGTTGGAGTCTATCATCTCTCCATGAGGACTCTTTTTGAGGTTAAGATGCTCCCATGGCTTAGGAAAATCCGATTCACAAAGAACTATTCTAATAGGTACTTTCTTTGTTTTCTATTGATGATTTGAATTTTCAAATCAATGACTATAATTAATTCTCTTCGCAAAATTCAGTAATTGTACTTTAAAAAAAAATACTAGTACTACTATGCATAAAAGAAGTATCCCTGTTATAGTTTTAATTAAGCATGGTTTTTATAGAGTATCTTATTCATCGTTTGTGTTGAATTTAGAGTCTTATATTTGAGTTAAAACCTATACTATGTCAGAATTGATCAAGAATTAAATAACTAAAAAATCCTATGAAACAGATTTGCAAATTGTACTTCACAAGTAAAACTTGTATTCCCTTATTTTTCCTATTTTTTGCATCATTATTGTATTTGTGTTGCTACGGATCCTAACATTTAAATCATTTCTTGCAATTTGGAATTTGATGTCCAGGAAGCAATTGGAACACAAGCGAGGACTTCATGAAGCTATTGGGTAGAGAAGGAAACATCACAAGGTTTTTAAAAGGGAGTTGAATAAGTCAAATTACAATGAGATAGGATGAAGGATTCAAGTCATTGGGAGTTAATTTAATTATGGTTCTTAGTGAACAGAGTTGACTTCGTTAGAAAGTCTTGATGAAAATGGTGGGAACTTTGATATGAATTATTAAATGGTCATGTGAATAATATGTTAAGGAACAGTTTTTGCATAATTTAAAACCATAAACAAGTTCTTATTTACACAAATTTGTTGGAAATTGTATGGATTCATTAAACGAAAGCTGTTTGACTTTTGAGTCAGACTATTGCTTTCATAATTTACTGATTTTTTTTTCCATGAAATAATATATGTGAGTGTCTACTGGTGTTATACTAAGCTATTGAATATGCTTAAATAATAAGATTATTTGAAAATTACATATTTCAGAAAAATTTCTAAAGCTGGAACAGGGATTGAAATAGCCATCGATCAGCTTCTGGCTGAAGCCATGTAATACTACTTCAAATACGAGCAAAAGACAAGTTCAGACATAATTAAGCTTATTATACAATATCAAGACAAAACTACAAATTTGGTCCCTGTGGTGTTTAAAAACCTTTGGATAGGGTCCAAAAGTTTTTCAACTTGCAAAGAAGATCCAAAATCAAAATGTTTGTGTTTTTGGTCCAAAAAAACTTAAAAAAACGGTTATATCCTTTTAATTTTTTTTTCCTATAATTACTTTAATGCTATTTTAATAAAATAAAAAAAATAAAAAAATTGGAGCAACCACCTATCCCCACCGTACTCTCTCTCTCTCTCTCTCTCTCTCTCTCTCTCTCTCTCTCTCTCTCTCTCACACACACACACAAACTCACTCTTTCCTTTTCTCTTTCTCTTTCTCTTCTTCTTCTTCTTCTTCCACATCTATCATATGAAAATCAGGAAAAAAAAAAAAAAAAAAAAAAAAAAAAAAAAAAAAAAAAAACCCAGATTGTTTTTTACTTTGCTACTACATTAAACACACAAGAGTCCCCAAAAAATTAGGTTCTTAAGATTTTTTTTGCCCAGCTTCAAAAACAAAACTAATGTTATTGAGATAAAAAACGCACACACCCTACCTTTAAATCTACAGCTTCAGTTATTTACAAACAATGATGCACCTTTCCTTTATCATCTTTCAGCATACACCCAACCCTCTAAATTATCTCGATGAATATCGTTGTCCTGCTCAAATATTTACAAACAATGATCATAAATTTTGGGAATTGATCAATAGTAAGTTAGGGTTAGGTATTATTGAATCTGTTGATAATGTTTTCAAGAAAATTGAATCGGTTCAAGAGCATTGATGAACAAGGGCATACCTGTCACCCATAGGCTTCATCGAGTAATATTCCTAACTCCTTACACTTTGTAATATGTTTATCTGTGAATACATCTCATACTCTATTCTTCAAATTCAGAGAGCACGACATCATTATTTCTAAGGGTGATTGGGAGAGAAGAGGGTGTAGCATCGTGGGGGACACTAGAGATGAAAGCAATTCTGCCTTCTTTGACTTCATTGACGAATGAGTAGACTGGGAGGTCGTGACTAGCTGTGATGCTACGGTGGTTAGTGTGGGAAAACATCGAGATATGGAGGTGATGAAGATGAAGAAATGTCGAGCGGTGTTGGTGGCATTGAACGTAGGATTTGCTCGGATTTGCTCGGATGAAGTTTTTGATTGTTGAATCCATTAGACCGACTGGTATAGTCACCACGAGCCGTTTCGTGGTTTACGTGTCCACGAACCACGGACGTGCACACCATCCCGGTGGTTCGTGGTGGTCCGTGTTCGTTGTGAGTCGTGTTCGGGACAACGGATTCAAACGAAAAATTTGATTGGTGTTTGGTTTTTGGCCGTTGAACGGCTATTTTGGCCCTTTTTTTTTTTTTTTCAAACTCAATTATAAATACACTTCTAATACCAAAACACATACACATACATACACAAACTCAATTATAAACTCAATTACACCCATGGATCCCTCAATAAATATGGAATTTTTAAAAAGTTTTGATTCGGATGACGACGTAGAATTTGTCGAGACATTCTTCAATGTTGTGTAACACGTTCACGCCGAAGAAAGTTCGAATGCAGCGCGTACAAGGGCGGTCGTCAATCGTGATCGCCAAGCCGCACACGACTTATTGGTACGTGATTACTTTGCCGATAATTGTCTTTATAATGACGACTCGTTCGAACGTCGTTTTCGTCTGAATAAGGCTATATTTTTACGTATTAGTAATGCTTTAGAATCTCGTTATGATTTTTTCAAACAAAAACCCAACGCTAGAGGAAGAATGGGTTTTAGTAGTATACAAAAATGTGCGGCTGCTCTTAGGTATTTGGGATACGGTATAGCATTTGATGCATCTGACGAATACTTGAAAGTATCCGAGAGGACCGCGGTTGAATGTGTAGATTGGTTTTCTGCATGTGTTTATGAGGTTTTTCACGGAGAATATTTGCGTAAACCTACTCAACGTGATATTGAGAGATTATATTCAGCTCATGAAGAGAGGCATGGATTTCCTGGTATGCTTGGCAGTCTAGATTGTACGCATGTGGCTTGGGAAAAATGTCCAACTGCATGGCGTGGTCAGTTCACTCGAGGAGATATAGGTGAACCAACTATCATCCTAGAAGCTGTTGCATCTCAAGATTTGTGGATATGGCATGCCTTTTTTGGAGTAGCGGGGTCTAACAACGACCTTAATGTTCTTGGTCAGTCTCCAATTTTCAACGATATTTGGACCGGCAAAGCACCTGATATGACGTTCACGGTAAACGGGCACGCATACAAATATGGTTACTACCTTGGTGATGGGATATACCCGGATTATTCTACATTGATGAAAGCATACTCAATTCCTCGAAGTGAAAAAGCAAAATTTTTTACAAAAAAACAGGAATCAGCGAGAAAGGATATCGAGAGCGCATTTGGAGTCCTTAAGCAAACATGGCATGTAGTGAAATATGCTACACGACTCTGGGATAAAGAAAGAATTAAGCGAATGGTCCTAGCATGTATTATAATGCATAATATGATTATTGAAGATGAAGGTCGAGCAATTTGCACGTATGATCCGAACGACGTTGTCGTTCCAATTGAGGAGTTCGTACCCGGAACAAATGTTTTTTTGGAGCGAGTTGTTGAAATTCATAACAGTGAAATGTGTTTCAATCTTCGAGAAGATGTCGCGGAACATTTGTACCAACATAGCATGAACGACGATTATGATTTTTATATGTATGTTTGTTCGTTTTCTTATTACTGTAATGTTTGTTTTCTAGATAACTAAGTAATGTAGTTTAAAGTTGTTATTTTATTTTTATAATTAATGAAAAAATAGTTTTAAAAAAATGAATGCTTTTTACTTATAAAAAATGTAATTTTATTTTAATATTTGAATTAAAAAAAGTAATTTTATTGTATTTTTAAATTAAAAAAAAAAATAAAAATAATGATGTGGAGTGGTGTGTTAGTGGTAAGTATCTCATGTTAGTGGTAATGGAATGTGGTGCTGATGTGGCACCTACCACATATGTGGTATGTGGTAGGTATAACGGATGGTCTTAGGATTTAGGGCTTCATAACGGGAATGAGTGTGACGAAGCCGACCTCTTTTTTTATGAGAGAGAGAGAGAGGGCTGTTTTTTTTTTCTTTTATATTTAATAAAATTCTCCAAATACTAAGGAAACAAATCAAAGAAGAATAAAAAATCCAAAAATAAAATTAAAAGGGTATAATGGTTTTTTCAAGTTTTTTTTGGATCAAAAACATAAAAACATTTTGATTTTGGATCTTGTTGAAAAAAATTTAGATTGTTGAAAAAAATTTAGATCCTATCCGAACCAAATTTATAGTTTTGTCCAATATCAATATACAAATTACAAATGTTGTATGTCATGTATGGCTGAAACAAGTGATATTATAAATATGATAAAATGATTACCTTAATTGACTGTGCACTAATTATTATAAAGGAATTAAAAATTTAGAATACACGCTCGTTTTGAGAAGATGGCTGCTAGTATGTAGGGGTGTGCGCGGTGCGGTTTGGTGCGGTTTCGAGTCAAAACCGCAAACCGCACCGCATATGCGGTTTGAATATTTTAGAAACCGCAAACCGCACCACAGATGTTCAAAACCGCATGATGCGGTGCGGTTTGATGCGGGCGGTTTATGCGGTTTAGTTGCGGTTTGTGCGGTTTGATGAGTTGTTTTAAATTAAATCTATCTAAAAACCAAAAACCTAGCCGGGTTAAAAAAATGATTGCTTTCATTTTATAAAAACAAATACAATTTTTGAG